TTTTCTCCTACCATGGGTGCAGAGCTCAGGTTTCAGGGTTGAGGGCAAACAACCACATTTCTCTAACAAGTTTCAAAGGATAGGAAGGTAAGTGGAGAGGAAATGGGAACTCATGGATCAAGATACTTAAACCACGTCAAAACTTGGGAGGCAGACATCGAAGAGTTCAAGGCCAGCCTCAGCTCCATGGAGGATTTGAAGCCATCTTGGTCTAAATAAGACCCTGTCTCCAGAGCTGGGCATGGTGGCGCACACCTTTCATCCCAGCACTTGGAGGCAGAGGCAGGCGGATCTCTGTGAGTTCAAGGCCAGCCTGGTCTACAGAGCGAGTTCCATGACAGCCAGAGCTGTTACACAGAGAAACCCTGTCTTAAAAAACAAAATAACAACAAAAAAACTGTCTCCAAACAAATAAAATCCCATTTCAACCATATTTTTCTTTTTACAACAAGGTAGAGCCAGGTGCAGTGGGACCTGCTTGTAATTTCGATACTTGGAAGGATGGAAGCAGGAGGATTGATAGTTTGAGGCCAGCCTGGGCTACACAGAGGGAATTTGTCTAACAAAACCAAACCACCCAGGAATCGTGTAGTGGGTATCTGTTCTGTCTATGACCTCGAAACATGGCCCCTAGAAATGCAGCAGGTAACTGCTCCACCTGCCTATGACCTGCCCCTGGGGCATGGCCTCAAGACCCTTACGACCTGGGATGCATGTAGGCATTACTCTCTCCATCATGGTTTGGGATGCTGAGATGGACCAGGCAGAAGAACAGTGTGGACTGTAGCTCGGCTTTCCAGGACCCTACGATAAATCTCCCATGCTGTAGTGAGTTTTTATCCCCTAATAAATTCCTTGCCCTTTAAGCAGACTCCATGGATTTCTTGCATTAGAATCATAGAATCATATCTTTTTTTTTCCTTTCTTTGTTTTTTTTTTTTCCCCAGACAGGGTTTCTCTGTGTAGCATTGGAGCCTGTCCTGGAACTCACTCTGTAGACCAGACTGGCCTCAAACTCACAGAGATCCACCTGCCCTTGCATTTGGAGAGCTGGGTATAAAGGTGTGCCCTACCATTGCCTGGTTCCCCAGGAACCACATTAACCAGTGTCTTGGCTATTTTTCTGTTGTGATAAAACACAACTTACAGAAGGAGATTATTTGGCTTAGGGTTCTAGCCTCTGAGTGTATGCACGTTTGCATGTATGTAGACACGTGTGTGTGTGTGTGTGTGTGTGTGTGTGTGTGTGTATGCCTGAAGTTGATGTTGTGTACTTTCCTCCACTAGCTTCCATTTTATGGGTTGAGGCAGGATCTCTCACTGAACCTGGATCTCTCCAGTTCTGGGTAGTCTAGACAGCCAGTTTGTCCCTAGGATTCTCTTCTTCTCTGGCTTTTTTTTTTTTTTTTTTTTTTTTTTTTCCTCGAGGCCGGGTTTCTCTGTGTAGTCGCCATGGCTCTCCTGGATCTTGCTTATGTAGACCAGGCTGGCCTTGATCTCACGGAGATCCTCCTGCCTTTGCCTCCTGAGAACTGGGATCAAAGGCATGGGCCACCATTGCCGGTTCTCCTCTGGGATCTGGGGCTCTGAACTCTGGTCCTCAACTTTCCTGGCAGATACTTTATCCATCGAGTCACCCTTGTCCAAGAATAAAACTATCTCTTCTCATTCCCTTTGAAGCAAGAGCTGCGATTTGTATCCACACATGGGATACTTAGCCGCTTGTGCACTCCCTAGCCTGCTCTGGTCTTCTCATCCTTGGGGAGATCTCACCGGCATGGGCTGGGTGTCCAGGCATTCTTCCCCCACCCTGTATCCCGCCTGTCTCTGATCTACTTGGAAACGCTACCATTTGAGGCTCTGGAAGACATGCCACTTCCCCCAAGGACCTGGACGCATTCATGGTCGGGTCCATGGCTGGGTCCTCACCTATAACGGAGATTCCAACCTTTCGTATTTGCATCTTACCCTGACCTGCACCTCTCTTTGGAAGGGCCTTTCTTGCTGTCTAGGTTCTGTGAGATTTTCACCTACTTCTCTAGTCAGCAGGTACAAGCACTTCACTGCCAGCTGAGCGTCCTGCAGCGCCCTCACCCGCCTACCATAATCTCCAGCCAACACCTTTCCCGGGCTCTGGGGAGCTGATCGCTATGCTATATCCGCCGCTAGCCAGCAGGGGGTGCCACAAGATCTAGATTTGCTCCAGTTACAGCCATCTGTGGCTCTGGAAGGAGGGTTCGCTTAGGGTGTCTCTGGTCTCTCCATCCGAACACGGAGCCTGAGCACTGTGAGCTTGGGAATGAGTACAGTCTAGACACAGGAGGAGCAGGCAGAAGGACTGCACCTTTAAGGTCAGCCTGGGCTAGAGAGCACGAATGTCTCACAACAAAAGGCTCCAGGGTGCGGTGGGACTCTAGCACTCTGGAGGCAAAAGCAGGATAGCAAGTTCAAGGCTAGCCAGGGCTACATGGTGAGATAGTGGGGGGCGGGGGGGGGGGGAAGGATGCCTCAGCTGGCAAACTGCTTGCCACACGAGCATGAAGACCCGAGTTTGGATCCCCAGACACCTGTGATAGCCAGTGTTGTATGTGTCTGTGACCAGCAAATCTCTGGAGTTCGCCGGTGAGCTTCAGGTTTGTCGAGAGGATTAGCGCTAGGGCTAGGGCTGGGGGGCTAGGGGGCTAGGGCTAGGGGGCTAGGGGGCTAGGGCTAGGGGGCTAGGGCTAGGGCTAGGGGCTAGGGGGCTAGGGCTAGGGGGCTAGGGCTAGGGGGCTAGGGGGCTAGGGCTAGGGGGCTAGGGCTAGGGGGCTAGGGCTAGGGCTAGGGGGCTAGGGGGCTAGGGCTAGGGGGCTAGGGGGCTAGGGCTAGGGCGCTGTGCTTTAGTTTGGTAACAAAATACCACAGACTGGGGAGCTTAAACAACACAAATGTATTGCCTCACAGTTGGGGAATCAGGAGTTCAAGGCCAAGGCTCCCTCCGAAGAAGCTTCCTTCTTCCTGTACCTTCACGCCCTCTTCTCTCTGCCCTCCCCACCCCGTGTGTTTTCAATTTTGCTATCTTTCTCCACCTTATTTTAATTAATCAATTAATTTTCTAGACAGGGTTTCTCTGTTATCCCTGGTTGTAGTGGAACTCCCTCTGTAGCCCAGGCTGGCTTCAAACTCACAGATCCGCCTGCCTCTGCCTCCCGAGTGCTGGGATTAGCCACCTGGGATCACAGATGCACACTATTGCTCCTGGCTTTTGCCCGGTTCCCGAGGGTCTGAATTCAGGTCCTCACACTTGCACAGTAAAAACACTTTGGTCCCTGAGCAGTGCCCCAGCCCTAACTTTGCTCGTCCTTTGCTGGGATTGGGACTCACATTCTGGGCCTGGTATGACCCTGGTTTTCCTCCCATGTTTAATTGTTTGTGTGTGAATGTGTTCATGCCCCGATGTCTGTGTTCGGGTCAGAGAACAGCTGCTGGGTGTTGGTTCACCTCTCCCACTGTTCAGCTCCTAGGGACTGAATTCAGGTTGGCAGGGTTGTGGCAAACACACCTACCTGCTGAGCTATCCTACCGGCCCCTGCCCTTTTTTTTTTTTTTTTTTTTAGTAAAGACAGCGATCTCAGTAAGCCAGGGCCACCCTCATGACCTTACTGCAGCTTCATTAAAGCTGGAAAGGCAAAACAAGGTCACATTTAGGGGCCTGGATTTAGGACCTCAATGCATCTACTTTAGAGGATGCACAATTTGATCGATAGCAGTCTATAAGCAAAGAGGGTCAGACAAGGGAGTGGGTTAAACTCCCAAACCCAGGCCCATCATCACATCGAGGCAAAACACTCTCCATCATATCTATGCCTGACCTCACACTGACCTCAGGATGGATGTACTTGTCTGGAGTGGAGCATCAGGATCCTCACACCTGGGCTAGCTGGAGGTCCCTGTGCAGCACAGACAGACTGGGGCTAACCCTGGCTAAAGGAGGCAGGTTTCAGACAGACAACTGTGAATAGGCCAACTTCCTCATGTTGCAGATGGGGAAAGAGAGGTTAGCTTCAGGCCACAGAGGGTAGTGGGGTCAGGGCTGGGCTTGGGTGGGAGTTTCTGACATTCGTCCACAGCCACACCGCCCTGGGGTCATTGCTACGCATTCTCCCACACTGATCATGACATTCAGCCCTCTGTGTCTCATTGCCTCCTGTCCTGGGCCCAACTCCAGTCCTGATAACCTTGACCTGCACGGGCTTTATGGCCTCGCAGATCCTCCTCCTCTTCTTGTGCTTATCAGCTGTGGCCTCCCTGGCTGCCTCCTCCTGGCTCCTCCTGTCCCTCCCCCCAACACTCCCCTATAAGGTCTCATGGCCTCTTTGCAGAAAAAGACTCAGGAGTTCAGAGACCTTGGGGTTTGTCCAGCTTTGAGAGTCAGGACCCCAGGGCTCATCTCATCAATGCCCAAGCCAATCTGTCTGGTCTTTTGAGCTTCCAGAGGGAAGGGGGAAGGGGGCCCTGTCTGCTGTGCTGTGCATTCATAACCCTATCTCAAAACAAACAAAACAAGCAGGAAAAAAGAAAGAGAAGGGAGAGAGGGAGGGAGAAAAAGAACAAAGAAACCAAAACAGGAACAAACAGACGTAGAGTCCACAACAGACAGGGCTGCTGCAACAGCAACCTGTGGACAGTAGAGGGCGCCGAAGGACAGAAATCCAGTCCAGACTGTTGACGGCCAGGTGCTCTGACCCAGAGACGTGGTAACAGGGATGACAAGATGTCAGTCTCTCCCCCTCCTCCACCCCCCTCCCCCCCAAAAAAAGCCAGGCATGGTGGTGCACACCTTTAATCCCAGCACTCAGGAGGCAGAGGTTGATCTCTGTGAGTTCAAAGCCAGGCTGGTCTACAGAGTGAGTTCCAGGACAGGCTCCAAAGCTACACAGAGAAACTCTGTCTAGGAAAAAAAACAAGATGTCAGCCCCAAGCTTTGCCTTTGTGACAACTACTTCATTTTGTCCTCACAGCAAAACCAGAAATGAGAAGTCTTAGCGAGATCCCCACTTTACAGTGAGAAATGGAGCCCTCTGTGGAGTCTCCACATCAGAAACCGGAGGCTGCGTCGAGCTCTGACTTGTTGCCCCCTGTCAGCCCTCCTGGGTCCTTTCCAGGTAGGACTGCTTAGAGGTGGGAGGGGAGTCTACGCCACGCTACCTTCTAGAGAGCGTGGGCTCTGGGGCAGCAGGGGGTTGTGGGGGGAGTAAATGAGGAAGCAGCCAGGGGCTGTGGGACTAGCCGTGGATCCATGGAGACAGCTCGTCCTTTGGACTGGCTCCTGGCAGAGTTGGCCCCCTGGGAAGCTGCCAGGGCTATTAATACCCTGCTGAGTCAGGGGCTCTTGAATTGCAGCATCACAAGACACAGAAGTCCTAGGGCAGCAGGGACACTCTTGGCGCCTCCCACCTGCATGTCCACCTCAGGCTGTGCCCTCTTCGGTAAGTAGAGGCCAGAACCCCACTCAGGGCTGTCCCCAGACAGCGTCCTTCAGAGCTCTGGTGCTAAGGCACAAGAATTATTCTTCTAGAAATTGCTTTGTAGAGGGCCTGCTGTGTGCCCATGCCTGTCCAGGAAGCCAGGGGTCCTATGATTCAGCTCACCACCCGCCCACAGGGCCCCAGCCAGAGCTGAGTGGACTCGACTAGGGGCCCTGCGCTTAAGCCATCGGAGGCACATAGCATTAGTTCCAGGGACTCTGGTCACTCTGGGTAGGCACTGGCTGATGGAGACAAGGAATTCACAGGGTCAGCTGTGACAGTTACGGGTCAGCAGGGAAGAAGCGGGTGCCAGGGAGGATGGAAGGACAGATCCCTCAGAGACAGGCTCTCAGCTCTGGCTCCTTGGCCTGGGCAGCCTTTCCTGCCCAGGACTCCAGGAGCTTGCCCAGGTCTCTGCCACCTTCCTGGCATGACTGTTGCAGACCTTCTGGGCCTTGTAAGAATAGGCTCACTCCTTGGCCACCTGGCTCTTGGAATTCCAACATCATGCTGTGAAAGCTGTTTCCTGAGAGTTGTGGGTGGGCATTAAAACCCCTGCTCATCCTCGGGATAGGGACACTGGCTCCTTCAGAACAAAGCCTCCTGCTACTAACGGATGAGATGGGCTTTGAACTCAAGCCTAAGCTGATTCCAGAACTCATACTCACATATGCATTCATCATCATCATTTTATTATTATTATTATTATTATTAACTATTAATTGATAATTATTATTGTATTCCAGGCTAGCCTCAAATCCACTCGGCAGCCAGGGGTGATTGAACTTCTGATCCTCCAACTCCTCAATGCTACTTTATGAGGTGTTGGGGAATCAAACCCAGGGCTTCGTGCATGTAAGAACTCTGTCAACTAAGCTATACCTCAGGCTCTCGTTTTATTTATTTATTTATTTAGTTATTTTTCTAGAGTTTCTCTGTGTAGCTTTGGAACCTGTCCTGGAACTCACTCTGTAGCCCAGGCTGGCCTCGAACTCAGAGATCCACCTGCCTCTGCCTCCCGAGTGCTGGGATTAAAGGCATGCGCCACCACCACCCAGCCCTCATTTATTTTTTGAGCTAGATCTCACTATATAGCTCAGGATAGTCTCCAAACTTGAGATCATTCTGCCTCTGCCGCCCAAGCGCTGCGGTTCCAGGTCTGTGCCATAGGCCCAGAAGACCACGTGCTGTTTAACTAAGTCATTCCATGTGGTATCTGTAGGTGGCTGCATACGTAAGTCTCACATCTGGCATGCGCCTCTTTTCACAGCCTCCTGGAGGCCTCTCACACTGGGACCCACTGGGGACCTTGCCTTCCTCCCCCTCCCCCTTCTGCACCCCACACAGCACACAGCCATGCTAGGCTCCCCGCACATGTGATCCAGGTCTGGGCCTCTTTCTCAGCTCTGGTCCAGAGCTGTAGAACAGCGCTTCAGCTCCAACAGCGCTTCAGCTCCAAGGCCCCTGCAGAGCCCTTATCATCCAGCCCCATACATCCCCGAGAGCCTGGGACAGGCAGCCCACCCCGATCCCAGCCCCACACAAACCCTGTTATCAGGAGACACATTCCAACCCACGCTCTCTCCTCCTGTAAGGGGTAAGATAGAGCCTGTCCTCTTCCGGCCAAGTGGGAAGGGGCACGGAGAAAGCAGAGGTTATCTCAGCAGGAAGCCACACTGCTGGGCTGTTTCTTCAGCCAGCTTGAGAAAACACCTTGAAAGGCCAGCCTTCTGCCCAGGAGGTGGCTGGCTCAGGACCCCTGCTGGGGCTGAGGTCAGGAGGCTGTGTGACTTCCCAGGAGCAAGGCGGTGGCTCCCCAGACCTGGGGGGGCTCCTTAATCCCTTTCTCCTGGCCTGGCTTGTCTGTAAACCCAAGCATCGCCTGGTTTGTGGGAGGGCTCTCAGCACAGTTAGCGAAGGTGCAGAGCAGGGCTGCTTCAGACAGCAGCCTGTCCTAAAGGTCCAAGTGCATGTTTTGTAATCTCTGGCGAGCACAACCCCATCACCAGGCATCTGCAGGGGTGGGTAGTGGAAGATTTGGAGATGTGAACCAGGAGGCTGGGATTAGAGCCTTGATCTTATCCTTTTTTTTTCTTTTGCTTTTGTTTTGGTTTTTTTTGAGTCAGGGTTTCTCTGTGTAGTTTCGGTGCCTGTCCTGGATCTCGCTCTGTAGACCAGGCTGGCCTCGAACTCACAGAGATCTGCCTGCCTCTGCCTCCTGAGTGCTGGGATTAAAGGCGTGCACCACCACCGCCCGGCCTTTTTTTTTTTTTTTTTTTTTTTGACAGGGTCTCACATATGTTACTCTGACTGTCCTGGATCTTGCTCTGTAGACCAGGCTGACCTCGAATTCACAGAGATCTACCTGGCTCTGCCTCCCGAGTGCTGGGATTAAAGGCATGTACCACTGCACCCAGCTTCAATTTTCTTATAATTAAGTTATGAACAATGGAAGTTCATGTCTTAGGTAGCAAAATCTTGAAGGGCTTAGTAAAGAGCCTGGCACCTAGGTTAAATGTGATGGGGCACACCTATAATCCCAGCACTTGGGAGGCAGAGACAGGTGCCTCTCTGTGAGTTAGAGGTCAGCCTGGGCTACATAACAAGTTCAGGACGTCCAGAGATACACAGTGAGACACAGGGGGAGAGCGTGTGCGCACTGGGTGTATTGATGCACAGCTACGTTCTGAGTACTTAAGAGGCTGAGGTAAAAGGATTAAGGGTTTGAGGCTAGCCTAAAACTACATAGCAAGACTCTCAAGTTGAGATTGCAAGTGCCCTCCACCATGATGGCTTTTTCATGTGAGTTCTGAGGCTCAAACTTGGGCCCTCAGCCATGCTCAACAAGGACTTAACCAACTGGGCTATCCATCCAGCCCCAGACACGTTTGGAACTCCAATACCAATGGAACTTCTGGAAGGAAAATATGCATTTAAAATAAAACATACAGGGCCCTTCAGATGGCTAGGTGGGTAAAGGCACTTGGTACCAAGGCTCATGACCTGAGTTCCATCCTGGTGGAAGGAGAGAACTGACTCCTGCAAGCTGTCCACTGACCTCACAAGTGTGCACTGTGACATGCTTTTACTGCTTCCAATAGAAAGAAAGAAATATGCAAATTAAAAAACCAAAGCAGCCTGGCCATGGGGCACGCCTTTAATCCCAGCACTGGGAAGGCACAATTCAGTCAGGAGCGTGACCCCAGGAGGGCTGAGGACCTGGGAAGAAAGGGTAAGTCAGAGATGAAGCCAATTAAAACACACACTGCATGGAAGAGCAGCTTGGGTTTTAACAAACACGCCAGTTCCTATGAATCAGATGTGGGTAGCATGAAGCTAAAAATTGTCTGAGAAGGAAATTGATGGTTGTAGTGTTTCAACCTTGTAAATTCACGAATTAACTTTTTTTTTTCTTTTGAGATAGGCCTCGGCTGGAGTCAAAGTCAAGGATGACCTTGAAATTCCGATCTTCCTGACAGCCCCTCCTGGTGCTGGGATCACAGGTGTGCACCACTGTGTAATGTGTCTGGTTTGTGTGTCCTGGGGAAGGGACCCAGAGCTGTGCGCTGGCTGGGCAAGTGCTTGACCCACTGAGTTTCAGCCCACATTGATACTTTGACAGTAACAATGAAGAGAGGTAGAGAAGCCACGTCAGTAGAGAGTGAGAAACAAAACTCAAAGAGCCAAGAGACGAGAAAAGAGAAACAGAAAAGACAGAACCAGTAGAAAACAGAAAGAAAAGAGCCTGACCAACCTCAAGCCAGAGAAACCCCGTCTCTCTGACTCTCCATGCGTTGTTTTGAGACAGGGTCTTTCACCGAACCAGAAACTCACCAGTTGACTAGACCAGCTGCTTAGGGAGTTACAGGGATCCTTGTGTCTCCACCTCCCTCCCCAGCACTGGGGTGGCAAGCACCCTCTGCAGGCCTGGTTTCACAAGGTTACTGGAGATCCAAACTCAGATTCTCTTGCTCAAGCAGTCTGCTCTTTATTCACGCAACCGTCTTCCCAGGCCATCACCTCAATTTAAATAAACAAAACAATGCTGAGTGCAGCCAAAAACAAAATCTCAGAAACAATGAAACAAAACCAAACTCCCAAAGGTCTGGAGAGACGCCTCAGCAGTTAAGAGCGCTGACTGCCCTGGACCCAGGCTCAATCCCCAGCACCTGAATGGTGGCTCACAACCATCTGCTCTAGTTCCAGGCATGCTCGTACTGGGAACCCTAGGGTCTCCAAAGAAGACAGATGGGACATGACCATTCCACTGGATTGTGGCAATGCTAACCACTGGGCAAAACTGCCCCATATCTCGCCTGCCACCAGGGTCCTGCACAAGCTGTGGACACTGTTGGATTGATTGCTCTGCTCTGCCTCGTCACAGTAATGTGAGTCCCCCAGGTTCCTCCTCCACAGGAAAATTTCTCAGACCTGGGTCTGGTAGGTAGCCTAAGGCTGATGCTGTCCTGTATGACAGCTGAAGACCCAAGTCCGCTGCCCCCAGTGAAGCCATTGAGCCCATGGGAGCCTAGGGCAGCTGTCTAGGTAGTAGGTGATTAACACATAGGCCATTTGGATGGTACTTCCTGCTATGATTTATCCTTCTCAGATCTCTGATGATATTGACAGCTAACTGGCACTTCATTAATTCACCAGCTGCTGCCTGATCAATGCATTTCACATATAAAAACCAGGCTTTACTTTTCTAGAACAATTAGGTCACCTAATAAAAAAGGCAAACTCACACACAGGTTTGCCTTACTAACAGGCTTCATATTAAAGGATGAACAGGTTTCACATGTAACTTTTACTATTTAAAGGAACTTGCTTTGCAAAGACTGCTCTCAGTAATCAATAGCTTATGTATATCTAATGGTAAATAGTTGGATAAAAAAGTTTAAGGTTTATATAAATTACAAAGGTCTAAAAATAATTTAAATTATAAACTTCTGAGGATATAAAGTCTAAATAAGTTATGACAAATTACAAACAATGATAATGTAAGCTTCCAGGAATCGAGAAAGTCATAAGACTTGAATCCACCTCTCACAGGTCAAATGGACTCCAGGTAAATGCTCCTGTCAACCATCAGCCTGAGCTGCCTATTCCTGAGAGGGAAGCTCCAAATATAAAGGTTTTCTTTAATTCTTTACCTTTAAATTCTGTCGCTGGTCTGTATCTGTCTTGGCAGAGTGCAATTTAGCTGGCAGACACCGTCCAGAAATCAGCTTCCGACTACAAACTTCTCCAAAAGTGATCTACACCATCCCAGCCCCAGGTACTTCTATGAAACTGGAAATCCCTGGACTGGCTACAAGCTGATGTGAAGCAGTCCAGTAGCTATGATTGCTCCCTGACTCTTCAGCTGGGTCAGCAAGCCAGATGCTTCTGATGAATGCCCCATTGCCTGAATCCCCTCCTGGCCTTTGACTAACATTCCAGCCTTCCTGGGCCTTGACATTGGTGTCCTAATTTCAACAGGAAGTAGTTACAGAGGAGAGTACAGCATCCCTTGTCCTTAATGAAGGGCTGGAGTATTAGGTCCAAGGAAATTCCCTGGCAAAGGGACAAAATGGCTACTTAAAGTACCTATTGGCATACCAAGAGTGTATTGCCTGAAAATATTTGTTCTAGCTGGGCGGTGGTGGCTCATGCCTTTAATCCCAGCACTTGGGAGGCAGAGGCAGGTGGATCTCTGTGAGTTTGAGGCCAGTCTGGTCTACAAAGCAAGTTCCAGGGCAGCCAGAGCTACACAGAGAAACCCTGTCTCAAACAACAACAACAACAAAAAAGTTTCTATTTATGATAACCAAACAGGTATAATTTATGCATTATAAATTTTATCCCCCTCCCCCCAAATAAAGACTGCTAGGACCTTATCGAGGATTTGACAGGGACATATAAGACAAGGGGGAATGAATGAACCAGCCTACCTCCATTTTAGGCTTAAAAGCCATCTTATAGTAAAGAAAAACCAGGTTCATTTCTGTTTATGATTAAACCTGTTTCTCAAGGATTGGGCTGTGCCCCACCTGTAACCTTATAACTACAAATTGTTCTGAACTGCTTGTTCCAGGAATGACAACCATGTCTTTGTTTCAAAAAGTTGTTATAACCATATTGCAATCCTACCTTTGTTTCAAAAGGTTCTATGACCACCTTGTTATGACCCACCACCTTGCAACCATGTCTCTGTTTCAGGCGATCATTAGGAACAACTTGTTATGATGTTCTGCTCCTGGAACCCCGCCTATTTTGCCTAGCAAATCCCCCATTTGGAAACCCCCTACCCTTGAGCTATAAAATCCTTGTCTTCCTCACATCCATGCTGACCTCTCTAATCCTGCCTTAGGGGGAGGCAGCCTGTGTATACGAATAAAAAAGCTTGTTTTAATTAATTGCTTGTTTTAATTAATTTGGCTACAATGATTTGGGTTGGTGGCCTTTCTCCTCCAATCTTTGGAATTAACAAAACATGCAGGCACCAGGTGTGGTGGCTCACGCTTTTAATCCCAGCACTTGGGAGGCAGAAGCAGGCAGATCTCTGTAAGTTCAAGGCCAGCCTAGTCTACAGAGTGAGTTCCAGGACAGCCAGGGCAATACAGCAAAACCCTGTTTAAAAACCCAAACCAAACCAAAAACAATACTTACAGGCAAAACATTCACACACTAAAATTTAAATGACCACAAAAATCACAAGCAAAAGATGCCTAGACAAGACCCCGACCAGGCTACCAGAAGCCAAAGCATAGTTGTTGGTAAAGGAATCATTTCAGATTATTAGGAAGGAAAAGTAGATCACAAAACTCCACAGTTTTTGTTGTTGTTCAAAAAATTGCCTACACTTTTACAAATTCAGAGGAAAAAAAAATTGGAAAGGACTGACCAAAATATTTTTTGCCTTCGGTGTTCCTGAGTAGATTTTATTTTTTATAGTGAAAAAAGAATTTGTGCATAACCAAAACACATACTAATAATCCAATGATCACGTCATTTCTTAAGGAAATTCTCCCTGTTCCTGCTGAGGCTCTCAAGAGACTCACTGCACATCTGCAGGCCCAGGGCACAGAGCTAATAGAATTCCTTTCTTCTAGGAGAGGGAGAGGAGATGACCCAGGTCATTCTGTAGGGGCAGGCCAGAGCCCTCCCCACCGGAACTCCCTGACTCGAAGCTTGGGGCGCCCTAGGACCCTGCTCACAATCATGCCTCTGCCTCCTCTCCTGGGTGGAAGAGGTCAGTGCTGTGGGGCAGAGGTTCCACACACACTGCCCTCACATCCATAGCAGACGCAAAGCCTGAAGGAGCAGCGGCTGAGGTGACTTGAGACTCTGGATGCTTCTCCCATAGTCCCAGATCGACTCCCTTCTTCCAGGCCTGGTTCCTGGGCAGGGCTTGGGGGAGGGGGGCCGGGCCTCTGCCAGACTACACAGCTGGGCTGCTGGTGGGAGGGATGTTCTGGGCTCCACAGCACTTCTCCTGGAAGACGGTTCCTTTCCCACCAGCAAGCCTCATCCTGGGGCCAGGTTTCTTTCTTTTCTTTTTCTCTCTCTCTCTCTCTCTCTCTCTCTCTCTCTCTCTCTCTCTCTCTCTCTCTCTCTCTCTCTGAGACTATCTCATCATGTAGCTCTGGCTGGCCTGGAACTCACTATGCATGTATGTAGACCAGGTTAGTCTCGAACTCAGAGATTTTTCTGCTTCTGCTTCTCTAGTGCTGGGATTCAAGGTATGCACTACCATGCCCATCTTTCTTTCCTTTTGGTTAAAGATTACAAAAATTACATTTATTTACTTGTCTATTTAGTTAGTTAGTGTATAGGTATTTTCAAACATACCACAGCATGCATGTGGGGGTCAGAGGACAATTTGCAGGAGCTGGTTCTGTTCTTCTACCATGTGAGGGAGGCCTGGGGATCTAACTCAGGTCATCAGGCTTGGTGACAAGTGCTTTTACCCACTGAAACATCTTGCCAGCTTTGGGGCCAGATTATTAAAAGCCAGAACTGGCCAGGCAGTGGTGGTGCATGCCTTTAATCCCAGCATTTGGGAGGCAGAGGCAGGTGGATCTCTGTGAGTTCGAGGCCAGCCTGGTCTACAGAGTGAGTTCCAGCACAGCCAGGGCTACACAGAGAAACCCTGTCTTGGGGGTGGGGGTGGGGGAGGGGAAGTACCATAACTGGATGCCTGGGGTTTTGTGGGCCGGGGAGCAGCTGTGAGCCAATGACCAGACTTTGAAATTCTCCTGGCAAAACAGCTGGGCCTGGTGACCCTGGTGGCCTTAGGACTTGCAATGTGTGTGATACGTATATGTGAGCATTGTCAGATAAAGTACAGGGCTCTTGAGTTTAGGATACAGCTCCACCGGCAGAGTGCTCACCTGGCATGCATGAGGCCCTGGGTTCAATGCCTAGCACAGCATAAACCAGTCGTGGAGACTGCTGTATCCCAGCACTCCAGACCTAGAGGTAGGAGGATCAGAAATTCAAGGTCACTTTTGGCGACATAGGAAGCTAGAGGCCAGCCTGGGCTACATGAAACCCTGTCTCAAATAAAAGCAGGATACTGAGTTGAAACTGAACTTTAGATTAGTGTATGCTCCCCACTTTACAGGCTGGGTTTTTATTGCTAACTCTGGCAAGCAGTTAAGAATGGATGTAAACCTGTGCAAGAACATGTACAACTGTGAATGTACACACTAGTAGTACAACAGTGTAAATGTGTAAATGTGTATGGCTTTAAAGACACATGTGTACAGGGGTACATGTGCACAGGAAAGAGGCTTAAGGGTTTTCCAGTGTGTGTTTGTGTGATGTGCATGTATATGTGTATTTCTCTTTAAGTATGAGCATGCGTGCTCACATTCATACCTATATGCATATGTGCTCAAACACAGGAGAGCTAGACACTGTGTAGAATATGCAGACTGGGCCCCCTGTGTGTGAGTTTACATAAAAGAAACATAAGGCCCTCAGCCATGCCCCGTGTGCTTGGGTGTGTGCAGGAGTTGGGGGCGGGCATGAGGGTGACAGGACCCGCTGAGCTTTTCCCTGTTAGTTACCGTAGTGTGGTGTCAGCTCAGCCCCATGCTGGCCCCTGACTGGGATCTCTTTCTCCCAAGCATGGAAGAGTCAGATGGAGGAGAACCAGTGATGTCTGTGGGTCAGGCTAGTGAGGGCCACGAGCACGAGCACACACCGGTTACATAAATGCCCTTGTCCAAACACTGGCCAGATGTTCAATCCTTGCTGAGCCAGATGGCAGTGGATCCCGAGGTTGGGGGCGGTTCCCGCTGCTCCCCTCCCTTGCCCCTTCTGAATCCTCCACTCCCACTTCCCACGGCATTTCTGTTGGTCTTGGGTCCTCCTGAGGCTTCATTTAGTCTTTGGCTCGCAGGGGCCCACCTTCATCCTCTGTCTTCACATGGTGGCTCTCGTGTGTCTCTGTCTTTTTTTTTTTTCCCCGTGTATATGTGTGTATGAGAGGGATCTGTGTGTGTGGCAGGTATGTGTGCATGTGTGTGTGCACATGTGTGTGTGTGTGTGTGTGTGTGTGTGTGTGTGTGTTTGTGGGCCAGAGGTCAACCTCCAGTGTCGTTCCTCAGGGTTGTTCACTTTTTTTCTTTCTTTTTTTTTTTTGATTTTTCGAGACAGGGTTTCTCTGTGTAGCTTTGCGCCTGTCCTGGAACTCACTTGGTAGCCCAGGCTGGCCTCGAACTCACAGAGATCCGCCTGGCTCTGCCTCCCGAGTGCTGGGATTAAAGGCGTGCGCCACCACCGCCCGGCCACTTTTTTTCTTTTTCATTAAAGTCAGAGTCTCTCTGTGGTACCTGGGGCTTCCCAATTAGACTAGACAAGGGATGGGATAGCTTGTGTCTGCTCCCTCAGCACTCTGGGATGTATAAGCACTCACCACACCTGGGTATTATTTTTATGAGTTCTGGGGCTATAAGGCAGGTCCTCAGTCTTGCATGGCAAACTCCTTATTTCCTGAGCTATCTCTCCAGTTCTGCTTTTCTGTTTTGTTTTGAGACAGGGTTTCTCTGTGTAGCCCTGGCTGTTCTGTAACTTGCTCTGTAGACCAGGCTGGCCTCGAACTCACAGAGATTCACCTGCCCCCACCTCCTGAGTGCTGGGATTAAAGGTGTCAGCTTTTGGTTTTTTGAGACAAGGTCTTGCTGTATAGCCCAGGCTGGAACTTTCTGATCTTCCCGTCTCAGCCTCCCGGGGGTTGGGGCGACAGGCATGTCCTGTCGTCACTGAAGTGTTCAGATGTCTGTTTTAACTCCCTGTAAGTACACTTCATCAGTTTGGATAAGGATCACTTGGTCATCTCTTTAGAAACACATTCACATTCTGAGGCCCTCAGATCAGGACTCCAGCACGCCAGTCAACCCTTAGACCCCCAACTCCTCACTCCTGAGGGATTTTCTCCCAGCCACACCACCGCCATCATGCCAGCTGTGTGTGACCAGGGGCCTCCAGCTCTATGTTCTTCACATGGACAAACTCTAACTTTACTGAAGATTAGATGGTATCTCAGAGCCCCAGAGCTCAGGGGTGACATCGTAAGTCCTGGCCCCAGTATGAAAGCAGGGAGTGAGGCCGCATCTCTGCAGCTCAGCCCTTTTGTTATCTCATGACCCAGAGTCATGGAGCCAGGAGGGTGGCAGGGAGGGACAGACTCTGGAGCGTCTGGTGGCATGAGGTAACCTCAACAGCTCTGGACCTCACTTTCCCTGTCTGGGAAATGGGGCCCTGGACTGTATGATTCTAGAGATTTCCTGGTTTCCTGGTTGTTGGTTATTTGGAGAAAATGACATGGAAGCTGGGACCTCTTCAGCAGCTGGGGAGGAAGGAGCCCTGAGGTGTCCCCGTCTGTTTCCTGTGGCCACATAACAGATTGCCACAAGCTTAGTGGCTTAAAGTCACACACATCTGCCCTGCCACTCTGTGGGACAGAAGTTCACCCCAGTCCTTAGGGTCTGTCATACCTGAGTGTTCCAGGAGACTCCCTGCCTCCCTCTCCCCAGGGCCGGGACTGTCGCCACAATGTGCAGCTTTTGCAGTGCTGCGGATCGAACCCAGGCTTTGTGGGTGCCAGGCAAGCTCTCCACCCACCGAGCCTCAGCCCAGTTCTGTTTCCTTCTTGCTATCAGGGTTCATCAGACCTTCATAGATCTGCTCAGGAGCCAAATGACATGTGGAAGTCCTACGCCTGCCTCGAATTTGGTGTTGGTGTTGGTTTTACATTCTGTGATGTAGTCATTGCAGCCTGGCAGTGGGGGTATCAGAGAGGTGATGCTGGGTGGGATGAGAAAGAAGACAGCAGGAGGCAGGAGGGCATTGCCCAAGTCAGGGCCAATCCCAGGCTTTGGTGCAGAGACACTCATGGGTCTATGG